GATCAGTAACTCACCTTTAGCCGCCGCAGTGCTGCAGACGGTCGCGCCCAACACGCACAGAACCAGCCTCCACATCCCTCCGGTTGTCCGGGGTTCGTAAGACGGTCGTCTGGGGTTCCTACGACGGTTGTTTGGAGTCCGTACGACGGTCGTCTGGGGTTCTTAAGTCGGTTGTCTGGGGTTCGTAAGACGAGACGGTTGTCGGGGGGCCGTACGACGGTTGTCGGGGGCCGTACGACGGTTGTCTGGGGTCGGTAAGACCGGGGGTTGCCTGGAGTCGGTCGGGAGGTCCGTAAGTTGTACGGCGGGTGTCCGTACGAAGTCTGGCGGAGTTTGCCCGGGTCTGTCTCTTATCGGCCAGCTCAGCCGTACTTCTCTCTGCCCTGATTGGTGCAAGGTGATGCAACGTGATACTTCTCTGTCCCCTGATTGGTGTGGGATCACCCATAACATATATTATGATGTCATGTAGCAGGAGATCCGGCCTGGCCTGAAGGTCGACGCCCGCACACAGTAAACGGAGTTTTGTGCTATTCAAGTAGAGAAAATGCATCACATCGTCGCTACCTAATGCTTAAAAACTGACAACTTTTCGAACAACTTCCCACACATGATCTAGTCTCCACCAGACTTCTTTGTAGGCTGAATAAATAGTAGCAATCGGCCTAAAAAGACTGCATTTGGCCAGGAGAATTGGCCGGCCATAGAGGGCCCAGTTTACCTCAAGGTCGATGCCCGCGCAGAGAAAGCGATTTTTTTAGTTATTCTTCCAACTTAACAATAAAAGAAACTTTAAAAGATATGTTTATATGTAGCTTGAACATATATGCCACAAAGAGCTTCTATCAAAGTATCATGTCTTCTTTGTGTAATGTTTGTAGAAGACATGGTGATTCTAGTGAATATTACAAAACAAGTGGACATAACTGTATTTGTTTAAGTCTGTTACGTGTGACATGTTCCCAACGTCAGATGTAATGTTTTAATTATTTACTGATCTAAATCAATACTGACTACGAATAAAATCTGCAGACATGATCGGGTCGACAAGGATAGGTAAACCTTTTTGCTAGCTTAAATTTTCTGTAACTTTGGTACATTTAGATGAATAACGTCCCTGAATTGCAAGTGGCCTTGTGTTGGTGTAATATCGATTTTCTGAATGTTTCCATAACGTGCAGACCGCCCAGTGTGTTGTTAGATCCTCCCGGGCAGTATAAACAACTTGTCCATCAGAAACTTTAACGTGCATAACGTGCAAAACGTGTGCCAGATGCTCCCGCGTAGTACAGTGTTAGATCGGCAAACTGTACTCTCTAGCGGACCAACTCCCCGGCATGTTATCTCTCAATTACGCCAATTTCTACTCTTCCCAGCCGATTCCCGAAGCCTGGTAGAGGTTGCCTGAGCCAGCAAGTGGCCTTGCGTTGGTGTAAAATTGATTTGCTGAATGTTTCCATAACGTGCAGACAGGCCAGTGTGTTGCCAGATCCTCCCGGGCAGTGTTTAAGTATTAAACAACTTGTCGATCAGCGGTGGGTATGAAGGACAGTCCTACCGGACCTAAATCAATCAGCCAGTTGCCGCCGCGCCGCGTGCCAGGAAGAATCGTGTGTTACGCCGAAAGGAAATATCCAATGCTATGAAGCCCGCGGACAATTGAATATTCGAATGCACCACTTTGGTTAGCAAAAAAGGATGCCAGTAGAACTACAAAAAGGCCGATGACAATGCCTAAAAAGACGTAAAAGATGTAGCCTACACCTCGACCTGGAGTGTAGTACAGACCTATCACTGCCGGGCAAATAGCACAACTTGTATGTTTTAATGCCGTTATATTTTTTTTTGTACCATGTACAGTGTAAAATCATTAGGACTTTAAATGATGTAAACTTTATTTCTTGTCTGATGACTATAATGAAAAGCGGCCTGCAGGCTGATCTTAGATAAAAGAATGGTTATAACTATCAGCCCGAAATGAGCGCTGAGGTGGCCTTGGTTAGTTTGGGCTGTGCGTGTTTCATACATGTTTTCATAACGTACGGGTGTTATGACAGGCCTTATAGATGGGTTAAAGTGTACATAAACCCCTGCCATTTTCCACCCGTACAATAAACATAGGGTAAGCCACCAACGTTGTGCTATTTGCCCGGCACTGATAGGTCTGTACTACTCTCCAAGCAGAGGTGTGAACTACATCTTTTGACGCCTTTTTAGGCATTGTCATCGGCCTTTTTGTAGTTCTACTGGCATTATTTTTTCTAACCAAAGTGGTGCATATTCAATTGTCCGCGGGCTTCATGGCATTGGATACAGCCTTTCGGCGAAACACATGATTCTCGCTGGCACGCGGCGCGGCGGCAACTGGCTGATTGATTTAGGTCCGGTAGGACTGTCCTTCATACCCACCGCTGATGGACAAGTTGTTTAATACGTAAACACTGCCCGGGAGGATCTGGCAACACACTGGCCTGTCTACACGTTATGGAAACATTCAGCAAATCAATTTTACACCAACGCAAGGCCACTTGCTGGCTCACACCGTGCAAAATCCCCCGTTTCCGTGTGAGAAATTGCCGCACACTTTCCCGGATATTTTAGGTTTCCGGTAGAACCCGGGGGAAACGTGTGCAGTCCCGTACATGTCCAGTACACCCCCCGGAAATGAACCACTTTTTGTGTGCAGGCCGTGTACTGGACGTTATATGCCCGGACACGATCCCTGTACATCCCCGTACACGGCAGGAAATGGCCGTGCACCGCTCCGTGCGTTGCTGGAATATGCATAATTTATCGGCAATTATCACCTAATTATTCTCCACACGGCAGCGGAAATTCGCCGTGTACGGGTCCGGACCACGCCCGGTACTACCCCCCCCCCCCCCACCTCCCCGGCCACAACCCACCCCGCTCTCGGGACCGGTTGCTCCCGTTCCCGGGACCCGTTGCTCCCATTCCCGGGGCCCTGCTGTTCCCGTTCTCGGGACCCCACTGCACCCACTTCGGGGACCCCCCTTCCCGCTCCCGGGGCTTCGCTGCCCGGCTCCCGAGAAATCGCTTCCCCCGCTCCCGGGACACATTTCGATGTTTTAGGAACACATTTCATTCATAAAAAAAAAGTAATACATGTTTATACTTCATTCATCGTTTTATTGGTATAAACAGGATCGCCATTTACAGATTGACAACAATAACGCTCTATGTATAGTGTATACACGTTATGCACTATGCTAACACTATACAATAATGTAACCTGGTACTTTACAAATATGTGTAGCCGAAACATAGAAACAATAGCTTTTTCCCGAACTAGCCTTCCAGGGACTAGACTTTAAAATCGTTGGAC